TCCCGTATTGACCACTGCTTGCCTGACTGTGAATAAACCTGCATATTGGCTCCTACCTTCTGTTGTGGTGTTACTCCCCGACGTTACAGACGTGCATGAAGAAGTGCATGAAGGTGCTTGTAGTCTCCCATCATTAATTATTAATTGCTGTCATCTGGTCAGAGATTGGACAACAGGGCCAACGTGACTAATTAGCGGGATGTAATGTCTGTTTTTAATGCATCAATAATTAGCAGCGAGTTCCATGCAAGAGCACCTGCGCTTCAAATGTTTCTCAGGTTTGCTGCTGTGAAATGAGTGAAATATATGATCATGACACCATATGCTAATCAAATGTAGAGAGATTATCAATAAACATGTTACATACTAATTACATTAAACTGTATTTAACTGACTGATTGATAAATATTATTATTATTATTATAATTATGATTATTATTATTATGATTATTATTGTTATTATTACTGTTATTCACCATATTTAGATTATTCACAAAAGCCTAAAATTAAATAGCTTCAAACAACATTCATTTTCATCTTTTCTTCTTTTTTTTTAAATTAAATTAATCTATAAATTAAGATTGAAAACGAACATTAATGTTTAATAAATTACCTAATTAATCATTTATTCAATTATAAAATAGATTTTTTTTTAAACATAGCCTACACTGTAAAAAATGCAGGGTTCCACACAATTCATTCATGTTATCCCAACACAAATTGATTAAGTTAACTTAACACTTTTAACGTGTAGTGTTAAGTGAACTTAATCAATTTAATGTATGTGGATTAAATATAAAAAATTAAGCAGTCATAATGAAATCTCATGAATTGTGTTGTTTCAGCTGATTTTAATTAAGTAGTTTGAACAAGCAAAAAATGCTTTTGAGTGTATGAAATCATACTGCCAATAAATGAATAAACAAATTTAATAAATGGATTAATTTATAAAATATGCATTTGCACTAAACAAAGGAATTTGAATGCATGTTTCCAGTTTAACTGTGAATTGATTTTTTGTAGATTTAGGGTTTGTTCACACTACCGTGTGTGTAGGCCTAAGCCTACATATTTAGATGTTGGGATTAAATATTGTTACAAAAAACAAAAAAACAAGTAAATTCCTTACGATCTGGTAGTAATAATAATTCCTTACATTTATATAGCGCTTTTCTGGGCACTCAAAGCGCTTTACACACAATGGGGGGATCACCTCATCCACCACCAGTGTGCAGCATCCACCTGGATGACGCGACGCCAGCCATTTTGCGCCAGACTGCACACCACACACCTGGGGCCTCATGTACGAAGACTTGCGTGGAAATCTTACTAAAACATTGCGTACGCACAAAGCTGTAAATGTGCGTACGCAGAAAAAAATTCAGATGTATGAAACACTGCGTACGCCGAATCTCACGCATATTCTTTTGTACATCTGAATGAACGTGAAACTGAGCGCAACATGCACGAGCACAAAACCCCTCCCTGCCTCCTCCCCCGTATGAATATGCTAATGGCTATGCTAATGGCAAAACCCAACGAAAAAGCAACGGCAAAATCAAGCAAAAAGAGAAACTTTGAACAGAATGTGAATTGGAGGTGCTGCTTTCGGAGGTAGACCGGAGAAAAGCGGTGTTATTTGCAAGTTTGTTCTCCGGAATTAACAACAAAAGAAAAAAATAGAGTGGGAGAGTTTAGCTGATACGGTTAACACAGTTGGGTCTGAACATCGCACTGAGTGCATTTAAAAAAAGAAATAGTGTGGTTTATAACTGAAAAATGTTGCAGTACCCTTAGCAGTCTCAGTGGCGCACCTCATAAGAAGCATGTGATCATGTACTGACATGTTCGAGCATAAACTTGGCTCGAATCCAGCGTCTAATAAATTCTTTCTTTTTTTCCCCGCTACATATCAGATTTTGCCCACTATTTATCAAGAGAAAGACAAGTAGGAATCATCAATAAGTTTGTGCATCATATTTTATTTGCACATTTATTGAATGGAAATGTTTCTGATTCACGCATGCAAATTCATCTTCAGATAGTGTCTTTATAGCAATGTGCGTGCAGTAGATAGCTCAGATTACATTGGGAAAACAGGCGACCGCTGCAAATTGTGCTTTAATGTTTAGCTGGTCAACTGTATGGTATGGAAATCTTACATACCTACTATATGAACCCGTCTCATACAGCTGCCATTGCAAGGATCAGACACTTTGTAGAGAAGAATTTAACACAACTGCCTCTAGGAGTCGCCAATGGAAATAAAACAGTTACGCACAAAAAATGTGCGTACGCCTGCCAGAAAGCTGCCGTGAACCTGCGCACATTCCCACGTTCAGTTCATTGTTATTAAATCCAAACGTGAGCGATTCTGAGCGTGAAACCTGGCGTACGCAAAGTTTTTGTGCGTACGCAGCGTTGATACATGAGGCCCCAGCTGATTGGTGGAGAGGAGACAATGGTGAAGCCAATTGTAATATGGGGATGGTTAGGAGGCTATGATGGACAGAGGTCAGTGGGCAGATTTGGCCAGGATGCCGGGGTTAAACCCCTACTCTTTTCGAAGGACATCCTGGGATTTTTTTAACGACCACAGAGAGTCGGGACCTCGGTTTAACGTCTCATCCGAAAGACAACGCTCACAGAGCAGTATAGCATACCCGTCAATATACTGGGGCATTAGGACCCACACAGACCGCAGGTTGGGCGCCCCCTGCTGGCCTCACTAACACCACTTCCGGCAGCAACCTAGCTTTCCCATGTGGTCTCCCATCCAGGTACTGACCGGGCACAGCCCTTCTTAGCTTCAGTGGGCGACCATGTGAGAGTAAACTCTGTTAAGTTGTTATAAAAAGGCATAGGCTAACAATCGGTAAAACACTGAAAGAAAATCTGTGTGACTGACTTGAGACTGGAATGAGGAACGTCATATATTCTTTTCTTATTAATTAATAGAAAAAGTTTAGTATTATTCAATATTAGATTAATTATTTGTCACTTCTGTTTTAGACATGCTATGTAGTAGCTGTCTGTTTGAGTATAGCATCTTAAGCAAGAGAACCAAATGGTGAAAAATGTCAACTGTTAGGGGTTTTAAGGGTTAAACAATAATTTAAACAACAATTATTAAATAAGTAAAGGTTTTATTTATATAGCACCTTTCACAGACATTAAGTTAAAAAGGGCTTTACAATAAATGAAAACCGGAAAAAACAACCCAGGAGTTTGTCAAATACGTCCCGGGATTTTTTGCAGTTTTTGTTTTTACAAATCCTCGAGAGGCCGCTGTGTATGCTTTTTAAGATCTTAAAAAATTTTTTACGAGTGCCACTCGCACCTGCTGCTCTCTCGTAACTCCACCAGAGGCCGCTGTGAACTGACTGACTGACTCACTGACTGACGGATGGACTGACTCACCCTCCCCCTTCCCTTAACCCAACCAATAGTGTTTTAAAAGCCCAGATTGACCCGCCCACCCACTTCCTGAAACCCAACTGACACATATAAAAATCACTTCAGAAAAAAAAGCCCTCGTCTGATTTACCACGTTTCCTGTGCCTTTTATGGTTTACATTAAAAATGAATGTACACAGTGGTTCTCATAAAAAAGTACATAAGTGTTGGACAACTCCTTCTTTATTACAATATCTATGAAAATAACTGTTACTGGAAAGACAAAGGGATTTTATGAATAATTTCCATTTTAAAACATGAATCATCATAGCATATGTTTAAAGAAATTTATAAACATTAATTATTAAGTTCTATTATACAAAACAACTGGTAAAAAAACTACAGATATTGTAAACTAAACATTTATGGCATTTTTTATAAACATTTGTTAACCATTTTTTGATAAATATATGCAGACAATTTAGTATTGTAAAACTAATCAAACATTGTGCACACCTCATTACAATACTTTTGCATAATTATATTTCTGTTTTAAAAAACTTTTAAGTGATTACAATTGTGTGAAAATTGGAGACTTTTATATTGTACATGTGAGAATGTATTTCTGTGACTGTTTTGTGAAAAGTGTTGTGAAATGTTTAGTAAAAAATAGATCTTTTGATTTGTTAAAATATTTTGTATTCTTTTTTGTAAATGGAAAAGGTGCATTTAAATAAACCTTTTTGAAAAACATTGTTTAAAATGTATTTGATGTTTGATATTTACTGAAAATGAATTGACATTTCGGATTTATCAAAATGCTTTTAAATAATTCTTAAAGGAACACATTTGACACTGTCAAGATACAAAGTGTCTTGTCACTAGTGCCTTTATGGACCTTTGATGAAGGTGCACTATTGTATCTGCAGGTTTTAAATCCAAAGGTACATTTTGGTTTCCCATTATAGAAACAATGTCCTTAAAGGTAAAAACTGCAACTGTACAAATTTGTTTCTAAGTCTTAAGGTACAATTATGTTCTATAAAAAGGTACTGCCCCAGTGACAAGGGTTTGTACCTTCTTTGGTACAACATTGTACCATTTTTGGTGTATTATATAGAACATTAGCATAGCTGTGCAAATTGTAAACAAGCAGGTTGGAATTCTGCAATGGGTGTTATAGAAGGAACTGGACTCCAGACACCAGATGAATATTTTTTCATATTTATTTATTTTTATTAACAAGATCATCTCCATCGCTGATCGTAAGTGAATCAAGGGATAGAATTCAGTTGTACTTTCAATTACATCTACTTTTCATTCACTTTCAGTTACCAAAATAACTATAATTCAACAGAAGATGGCGCTGTTTCTGTTCTGCACAAAACTTCAACAATATGAAATGTACAAAATGCACATACATTAGCCTGGAACAGTCCAACTAATGTGGCTGAATCCTTCTTTATTAGATCCCTAAACCTTACCCATTCATATTCTGTCAACCAATCAAACTTTCAACTATCACAGCGCTGTTACTGATTGGCCAGTGAGTGGAGACTCTAATCTCTGCTCTCTTTAAAACTCCCTCTGTTCTGTGCATTTGCAACACTTTGTGCTATTATCTGTCAAACGTCTTGTGTTGTGATTTTCGGTGGTTTAATTAAAAACTGAACACAGCAATAATGGTTGAGCAGTACGTTGGAAAATGGAAAATGACTTCAAGTGACAATTTTGATGAATACATGAAGGCTGTAGGTAAGACAGATTTGACTATTATATATTACAGTTATTCTTTTACAATCTATACTATTACTATTTGCTATTTCAATCATACTTTGTCTTTGTGCACAGGTGCTAGTTTTGCCTCTCGACAAATGGCAAATCTTGCTAAACCAAGTTTGTTGATTGCTGTGGATGAGCAGGGCGTCATCACTATGAAAGCTGTCACTACATTCAAGACCCTGGAAATCAAATTCAAGTTAGACGAGGAATTTGATGAGACGACAGCAGATGACAGAAAAGTGAAGGTAAGGGCACTGTTATTTATAGCAATGAAGAAAAGATTTTTTCTGGATTTACTGGATTATTTAGTTTGTGGTTGAGTAAAATGTTACATGTTTACATGTGTTTTGTTCTTTAAAGCTCTGAAACACATTATTTCCTTGTTTCAAATACAAATACTCTAATTAAAAATTTTCAGTAAATAGAAATTCATCAGAAAAAAAAAAATGATTTATTTGTTTTGACTGAAAATAAGAGTTTTTGAAGAGAAATGTTGCTTTCTTAAAGGGATTGTGAACTCAATATTTTAAATTTCTTCACAATTTACTCACACTCAAGTGGTTCTACTCTTTATAAACTTCTTATAATAATTTTCTCTTCTAGTGAACACAAAATAAGATTTTCTAATGGCCATTGAGACCCATAGTAGAAAGAATAACAACAATAAAATACTATGGCAGTCAAAGGTTGTTTTTTTAACATTCTTCAAAATATCTTCTTATGTGTTCAACTGAAGAAAGAAATGCAAACCGGTTTGGAAGTGTACAATGAGTAAATGTCTTGATTTTTGGGTGAACTATCCCTTTAAGTTAAAACATTGTTATTGTGTAGTTTAAAATGAATATAAAAATGAAACTTGAACGCTTACATTTCCCAGTTCTGGGTTTCAGCTCGACGGGCATCCGCTAGGTAAAACATATGTTGAAATAATTGGTGGTTCATTCTGCTGTAATTACCCCTAATAAAAACGGGACTAAGCTTACGGAAAATTAATGAATGAATGAAAACGAACAAAAAAAATAAAAATAAAACACCTTTCATTTTAAACAGGATAAAATGTCATCAGTAGTAAAACAAAAAGGATGTTTAAATGCAAACAACAATTACAATTTATTTTGTTTATTTATTTAATCATGAGCATAATTATGTGTCATTTCATATGTTACGCTTTGCTTTGCTTTCCTTTTCAGACTACTATGAGCCTTGCGGATGGTAAACTTATTCAAAAGCAGACCTGGGAAGGAAAGACCACAATAATCGAAAGAGAGATTCAAGACACGAAAATGATAGCGGTATGTGTACAAGCCTCATGCAGTTAGCTTTATATCGCTAAGCTGCAGTTTTTTATTATTATTTATTTTTAAATTTGTTTGTGTTTTTACATTTTATGTAATTTTTACAATTTGAGTCTCCCTTTGAATTTTTTTTCCTTTTTGAAATATTTCCCAAATGATGTTTAACAGAGCAAGGAAATTTTCACAGTATGTCTGATAATATATATATATATATATATATATATATATATATATATATATATATATATATATATATATATATATATATATTAGCTGGAATGAAAGCAGTTTTACTATTTTTAAACACCATTTTAAGGTCAAATTTATTAGCCTTTTTAAGCCATATTTTTTTCCGATAGTCTACAGACAAACCATCATCTTAAAATAGTTTGCCTAATTACCCTAACCTGCCTAGTTAACCTAATTAACCTAGTTAAATGTCTAGGTTTAAATTTAAATGTCACTTTAAGCTGTATAGAAGTGTGTTAAAAATATCTAGCCAAATATTATTTACTGTCATCATGGCAAAGATAAAATAAATCAGTTAATATAAATGAGTTATTAAAACTATTATGTTTAGAAATGTGTTAAAAAAATCTGCTCTCTGTTAAACAGAAATCGGGTTAAATATAAACAGAGGGCTATTAATTCTTAACTGAATTACTGTTCAACTGTATATATTTTGTTAAAGCGTGAGTTTACCTAAAATTACAAATTGCTGGTAATTTGATGACAAGTATATTCTCCTGTAAAAATTAAAGAATTACCTGAAAGATATTTAATAACTTTTTAAGTTTGAGAGTCAAAAAGCCTAAAAAATGAACAGCTGTTGCTCTTGACCTCTTCACTGAGGTCTTATTATATATAATGATAGGTCTTTATGAAACTGAACATTATTTACAACAATATTACCTTTAATCCACAGCCTGACAGTGTTCATGACTGCCTGTAGCTCAAGCTTTCTGTCCCAACTCGATCATATTGCTTTATAACACTATTGTCTGGAACTACTAATATTTCTTTTGTTTGATCTGTATATGTATTTTAGGTGCCTTGTATTTTATGTACTGTATGACCAAGAACAAAGCAACAAATCTTTTTCAATATTGTACTATAGAAAAAAAAGTAGCAAAGTTTCATTTTGGGGAAACTAACTCTTTATTTTAGTTTTGTGGTTTAAGTTTACCATAATAAGTATATATTGCATATATCATAAATCAGTGTATTTCCCAAATAAGTACACCCCCTTTTAAAATGAATTCTTTATCCATTTCTCAGTGCATATAGTCAATCAATTTTGGTGCATTTAAACAAAACAGCACTGTTATGAATTAGAAGCCCCATATAAATCATTATAATAAAAAAAATAAGAGATTGGTCATCGAACATCATTAGGACATCAATAAAAAGACAATGCAGATAAATTCAAATGAGGTTTTACAAAAGATTTCAAATAAAATATAAACTACAAAATTTCAAGTAAATTTGATAGATTTTTTACGTTTCTCATGATTTCTCCTCTGTATTAAAATTGTATTTAACATTTTCCCTAATTTGGGTTTACTGTTTTTGTGGACCAGGATTTTAAGTTATTTTGTTAAATTAGCTACTTTTAGCTTTGGTACTGATTAATCTAGTGTATATACATAAATTATAGTAAAACATCCTATAGAAAGCCATCAGGTTTGATTTGGTATTTCAGTGTTGCATTCATTGTTATACATATTAATCTCTTTCTCTTCTCCAATCATCTCTACAGAAATGCACCATGGATGACGTTGTGGCTATCAGGACATACGAAAAAGATGCATGACCGAATGAACTACAGGCTTTAAGACATTTTAAAGTTCTTGTCAGATTTTAATGATCATTGAACTTGACTGATTTGATGTGAGCTATGAATTGCTTTGTTTCAATGTTTTTTCAGCTTTTTAAACATAATAAAAACAATAACATAAATGTCTCTTTACTGTATATATTACATTATCGATGAATCCTATATATAATCCTGTATAGGAATAAAATACTGTATGTGATCCAAGATGCACTGTATTCTCAGTCAATTTGAGTTGGAACAACATGAGTGAATTAAGTTAACTTATTAGTTTTAACAAACTTAAATGATGTGAACATAAAAAATTAAGTTGTAGGCTCAATAATTGTGTCATTTCAGCTCATTTTAAATAAGTAGTTTGAACAGACATTAAACATAATGCTTGAGTGTGTAAGAAATTACGCTAGTTAACACAACATAACTTAAAAGGATAATTTACACAAAACTGCAATTTACTTTCATTTACTCCTTTGTGCTCTTGCTTTTTTCTGATAAACACAAAAGAAGATATTTTTAAAGACTGTTAAAAACTGGTATCTGTTGTCATCCATATTAGGGGAAAAACCAAGAGGGGCAATGCAATGCTGCATGCAGTACTTTTTAATGGGCTCACCTCACCTCACCTCACCTCACCACGCCCCCTCACAGTGACGTCACTAGCTCCATTGAGTGCATTGTGTCTGACATTGCATCTCTAACATATGCAATCTCAGCTTGCATCATAAAGGCTGCATTCAGATACTACTGGGGAAAAAAACACTATGAGTCAGTGGCTACCAGTTTTAAAACCTTCAAAATATGTAAACAAATATTATACATTCATTATACAATATATATACATATATATATATATATATATATATATATATATATATATATATATATATATATATATATATATATATATATATATATATATATATTCATTCATTTTCTTTTCAGCTTAGTCCCTTTATTAATCCAGATCCCCACAGCGGAATGAACCGCCAACTTATACAGCACGTTTTTACGCAGCGGATGCCCTCCAGCCGCAACCCATCTCTGTGAAACATCCACACACACTCATTCACACTCATACACTACGAACAATTTAGCCTACCCAATTCACCTGTACAGCATGTCTCTGGACTGTGGGGGAAACAGAAGCACCCGGAGGAAACCCACGCAAACGCAGGGAGAACATGGAAACTCCACACATAAACTGACCCAGCCAAGGCTCGCACCAGCGACCTTCTTGCTGTGAGGAGACAGCACTACCTACTGCGCCTCTGCGTCGCCCTCACAAAGGTTTGAAACAAGTAAAATATTAGTAAATGATGACATAATTATTTTTGGGTCTACTATCCCTTTAAATGGACTGTACAAGAAACAATTTATTGCTCATACTTACACTCATGTATTTATATTATCGTTCTTTGGTTTGAAAATGCACACATGCAACATTCTTGGGATGTCATTTTATGGCTGAAAACTAATAAGCTGTAAATAAATAAGGGAAACATTCTGCATCAATTAATTTGAAGATAACTTTGCTGGAATACTCTAGGCATGTTATTTTTCAATCACAACCCTAAAGAAACATCTTCATTATTATTTGATCCTTTAAAAGAAACAACCAAATGGGAAAAACATTAGGTGAATGAGGAAACATTTTATTATAAATATATCTAAATTTCTATTCCAAAAATTCAAACTTGAAAATTACAGTCCACAATTTTTATTATTCGGTTATTAAAAAAATAAATGAAAACATGTTGATAGTTTGATTATAAAGCATATTTGTAGACTACACTCACAGAAATAAAGGTATGCGAGTTGTCACTGGGGTGGTACCTTTTCAAAAGGCACACATTTGTACTTTTTAGGTACTAATATGTACCCTTGAGGTATTAATATAGACCTTTTAGGTACACATATATACACCTTTTGAAATGGTACCACCCCAGTGATAGCTCGCATACCTTTATTTCTGAGAGTGTATATACTGCAGATTGGCGAGACTACAGTATAAATGTTTGAAATGACTACAGAACACATTTTCTTTGCACAAGATATTGACATTATAATTCAGGCTAGCTTATATTTTGGCATTATCTTTAATGCTTTATAAATATTCTCATTCATGAATCTGGAAGAGAGTCTCAGTAGTCCTTCACAAATGAAAAATTAAAATAAAAATAGTGTATGGTTTTAATAGTCAACCTGTAACAGAATACCAAATTGGAGACATGGTGGCAGTTAAAACTTTGGAAATAGCAAGTGAGTACATCAATAATTTTAGTCTTTCAGAGAGTTCAAGCCACTGATATTTGTTTTTGCAGGTGTTATGTTTCTCAAAACTTATTTATTTATATTTGTTTCTATGTTGTGGTGTTGTTAACCCTATTTTATTATTTTATTATAACCCTTCATTAATTATTTGTTTGTTTATATTTTATCCCTAAGATCATAGGTGGCAAACTCAGTACTTGGAGGGCCGCAGCTCTGCACAGTTTAGTTCCAACCCTAATTAAACAAACCCAATCAAACTATAGTTAAATCATTCAGGCTTGTTTGAAACCTACATGTAAAGGCTCGTTTATACCTCTGCGTCGAGTGATCAGCGTGACCCACGGCGCATGCAATGCGATGTAAAACAACTATGTATGGACAACCGCGATCTGCTTACCTCTTGCACCTTCTCTACTCCATAAAATGAAAATGTCCTCCATAAATGGTCTCGTACCTTATCGTCTTGAAAAGCACTGATCAGGTGATGAATAATGTATGGGGAATTCCCCAATACTTAATTACTCCTGACAGGTACACAGGAAAGTTAAGGCAATAAATGGATATATTTTTTTAAAATAGTTTTTCTTTTATTTCACACGATGTGTTTTTTAAACACTCATTATGTGGCAATGTTACACAGTGCATTTATACTTCTGCACGCTGTTTTTGTTCAGAAACGCTTTCTGGCAGTAGGTTTTTATGTTCCTCTGTGATGAGTTTCTTCGCTGATGTTTTGTTTTTTCTGAATGCTGCCTTAATGTACAAGTGGCTCAAACTCGGGGGATCGGCAGATGTTCAAAAAACTTTAATCATAAGGTAAACAAAAAACGTTTGAGGTTACAGAAGTAACCCTTCGTTCCCCGAGGAGGGGAACGGAAGTGCTATAAAGTGGATTTGATCTTGGAAAATCCACGTATGGGAGGTTTCGGTTCAGAAGCCGCTTGTCTGAGAGAGTATTAAACGGGCCAATGAATGCAATGAATTGGCAGCGTAAGCTTGCACAGGTGTGCTTCATTGCCAATTATCCCAGCATATAAGCACACCTGGAGCAAGCAAACGCCATCCTTTTAAGCTGAAGAGACTTTCTAACAGCTAAGGGACAGTCATTAGGGCGACGGAGTATAGCACTTCCATTCCCCTCCTCTGGGAACGAAGGGTTTTTTCTGTAACCTCAAATGTTCCCCTTCGGTTGGGGAACTTCAGTGCTATAAAGTGGATTTGATCTTGGAAAATCCACGTATGGGAGAACTATGGAAAACGCCATAATGACTGCATCTTACCAACGCCCCCGATGAGGGGATAGTCAAGCAAGCGTGACGCACCCCCATCATGGGAGGCGCGGTCCTCCAACGTGTCCCTGGCCCTAACTTATCCCACTTCAACAGAAGTTTTACGGATTTAGATATATTTTTTTGGGAAGTCGTGAGCGTCTAGATAATTCTAGGAAATACGACAGTACGTTGGTAAGCGTGCAATCCCGATAGAACTTAACCGTGGCGGAATAGGCATATGGGATCGCCTAGTGGGGATCATGCATAGCAGGCACCTATACCCAAGACGCGGGCTGACCAGCGGGCAGACCAACAACGTAGTGGGCCAGCAAGTGACTCCTCCACTGAGTCAGTGCTGGGGGCCACGGAGGAATCTGCAGGGCTCACCTGACGGGGAACTTTACTGACAGATAAAAAGGCGCACGTATCTCCGTGTTAGGGAGAATGGTGCAGCAAGCGTGTTTCAACACCCTAGCGAATTGTTTTCTCAGTCACCAAAGGGTTACCTAATACCCTTGAGGAAACCGGCTTCACTCGCAGATTGTAAAACCTTGCAAATGTGTTGGGTGTCGCCCAGCCCGCAGCTCTACAGATGTCTGTTAGAGAGGCGCCGCGTGCGCGTGCCTGAGAAGATGCGATGCTCCGAGTGGACGCGGCTCACCTCGGCTCTAATAAGCGAGAGAATGGCATCCACAATCCAGTGGGAAAACTTAACTTCGATACGGCACTTCCCTGCTGCCGACGGTCCGGAAATACGCAAGACGCGAACTGGACAATAAAGAAAGGGCTGGGTCTGCCTCCTCCGGGGGCAGCGCTTGCAGGCTTACTACTTGGTATTAAAACGGAGTGGTAGGAACCTTGGGCACATATCGTGGGCGGGGTCTCAGGACGTGAGAGAAAGCCAGCCCAATTACAGTCACTGACCAAAAAAATGCCTCCGGGTCCCCAAACCCTCTAATCGATATCAACGCTACCAGCAGAGCTGTCTTCAGGGACAGAAAGGTACTGAGTCGAGGATCGAAGGGATCTGACGCGGCTCCTTTCCAGGTCCACAGCCGCATGCCCGCAACGCACAGCCCCCCAGCCCGTGTTGGAAGCGTCTGTTGAAACAACAACAAGGCTGGACGCCTGTCCTAGAGGCACTTAGGCCTGTAGGAACGAGGAGTGGCTCCAAGGGCTGAGGGCGCGGCGACACAGCGCAGTAACAGAGACTCGATGTGCGCGCCCGTGCCATGTGCGTCTGGAGACTCGATCGTGAAGCCAGTGCTGAAGTGGTCTCATATAGAGTAATTCGAGTGGCGTGAAGTAGCTGCGGATGCCATATGCCCCGGGAGCCTCTGAAATAGTTTCAGTGGGACCACTATTTTACTGTCGAGCTCTCTCAGACAGTACAGCATCAGCTGAGCGCGCTCTCCGGAGAGGCGCGCTGCCATGGTGACCGAGTCCAGCTCCAGCCCGAGAGAAGAGATCCTCTGCGCGGGGGCGAGTTTGCCCTTTTCTCGGTTGACTTGAAACCCGAACAGGTGGAAGTGCCGGAGCACTTTGTCTCTGTGCATAATCAATTGCTCAGAGTGGGAAAAAAT